TGCTTAAATTAATTAAAAATAAATAATTCTTAATAACAATCATAATAATAATAATAATAATAATAATAATAATAATAATAAAAACTATCATCAATGGTAAAAAACGAACTAATAAAATAAAAAAATTATCTTACATGATTTTCCCCCAATTTATATGATCATATGCTTCCCCTCCCCCAAGTTACATTTAACATGTCCCCACACTATTAATTTTCTGGATACGATACTGGTTGTGTTATTGATTTTATGAATTCTTTTGTAACAATATGTTTAAATTTTATGAATGATGCTATTAATTTACGAAGAAAATTATTAATAATTAAAAAAATAAAGTAATGAGACATGTTTTTCAAATTAAAAAAAGTATGATTATTTAATTAACACTAAGAAAATTAATAATGCCCCTCAGGACTAGTCTATTTTCCTTTTTAAAAAAATTTGCTTACGTAACCGTCTGACAGCTTCATAAGTGACCCTGACACTAATTTCATCATTTTTAATGATATATATATATATGCTCCAATTATGGCATATACATGCTTTTGTTTCAAAATTTTCCATTTACAAGGTTATTTGAGAAGTAGAAAAACAATTTATAAGGTTAAAAATTATCGTTTTAATTGATCAAGATTTACGGTTTTCCGTAGTTAAACGAAAAAACAAAAGGTAGTTTCATAAGTTTTATAAATAAGGTTTTTCCATTCAATCTCCCCCACCATTTATATATTGATAGTATACTAAATGTAAAATATAAACATCATTGTCGGGTTAAAACTTAAAACGTACCTTTAAACATAGACAAAGAGAAAACCAACAATAACGAGACATTTGGTTCGCAGATTCTGAAAATATCTAATGGAATTGGAATGTTGAAACATATTGACCAAATTCTGTTTCTTGGTTCGGTTCATTCTTTTTCAAGAAGGGAATATTCAAAATCCTATAAATAAAAGAATTTAACATTTCCTTAAAAACTATATGATATTTTGATGGAATGAAATTTTCTATTTTCATAATACAAAATATTTCCTTAACTCAATATACCTCAATCTCATAAAACCCAATATGACCAATATCGATTTGAATCACCGTCGACCACCGTTGAATTATTAAAGTCGTTTGACTTATGGTTATATTTATGCTGTGTATTTTATATTGTTTTACATATTATTAAAGTTCTTTTTTTTGTTTTAAAAAGATTAAAATTTTCAAAAAATGGCATTTTGATCATTTACCAATATTTATTCCAATTCCAAAGCTACATTCTGTGAACTAAACAGATAAATTTCAATTTCTTAAGAGATCTCATTCCAATGTCTACCAACCAAATATGTGGTCAAACATGACAACATTCCATTTCAATTCCTTCAAAATCAGATTCATTTAACATATTCCATTTTATCAAAAAATATTCTGCAAACCAAACGCTACCTAAGAGTTCACCATTCCAAGATCAAGAATTTTTGTTCAATCGTAAAATATAAAACCTGTACACCAAAATCCGTATCTAATTTATTTGAGTGAAATATATCGATGGTCCCACATTCAAATTTTGGATTCCCTACTTAAAACTAACTATATACATAGCTGATCCTTTTTTAATTTCATGATCCTTAACGTCCATGAAATTAACATCATTGATTACCAACCATAAAAGAGATATATCAGTTTATGGACAAAATTACAGGGATAAAAAATGTAACTCACTTTGAAATTAGTTTTAATTGATTTTTTTTAATTTGAGAAAGATCTCAAATTCCAACAAATCAGTTCCATTAGATATTTTACAACTAGAATTACTCATATAAGTGGTGCGTGAACTGGGTTCAAAAAAATTAATTATAACAAATGACACACACACACATATTCCAAAAATACAAAACAAGTTTGCAAAAAGATTTCATTTAAATACAATCAGAAAAAGGTATTTTGATTATTATATTAATACAATTATTTTAACTTATTTAAAATTATTCGATAAAAATTATATTTCATATTATTTTAACTCTTTAAAATATAATTATATTTTTTTCGTAACAAATAAATCATTTATCCAAATGAACAAATTTTAATATACAACTATCTCATGCCAAAAGTACTTAATATATTTTTAGTAAAGAACTTTACAAGAATATGTGAATCATTACAAATTTAAGACTTATCATTCTTTTAGTCCTTGTAATTTTCCCAAAAACTTAAGATGGTGTTTGGTTCGCAGTATGTTTTTGGATGTAATGAAATCTATTAAAGGAATTGAAATGAAATGTTGTCAGGTTTGACCACCTATTTGGTTGACAGACATTGAAATAGAATTTGTTAAAAAATTGGAATATATCTGTTTGGTTTATAGAATGTAGCTTTAAAATTGGAATAAAATATTGGTAAATGACAAAAATGCCCTTTTTTAAAATATTAATTTTTTTAAACTAAAAATACTTTAATAAAATAATTATTTAATATGTAAAACAATATAAAATACACAACCCAAATATAATCGTAAGCCAAACGACATTACTAAATCAACGGTGGTTCAAATCGGTGGTGGTCCACAGTGGTTCAGATGATGGTGGTCCACCGTGATTCAGATCGATGGTGGTCCGCAGAGTTGGAGGTGGTCAACGATGGTTCAGATAGGTGGTGGCGGTGGTGGTTGTTCAAATCGGTGGTGGTCGGCGGTGTCCGATGGTGATTCAGATCGATGGTAGTCGTCGGTGGTTGGCAGTGATATAGATCAATGGTGGTCCGTTGTGGTTCAGTTCGATGGTAGTCGGTGGTGGTCGACGATGGTTCAGATCGATGGTCAACGGTGGTGGTGGTGGTCAGTGGTTGTTCAGATCGGTGGTGGTCCATGGTGGTTCAGATGAAGGTTATCGACGGTGGTTCAAATTGACGATGAATCAGATCAATGGTGACTCAGATCGACGGTGGTTCAGATCGGTGGTAGTCAATGGTGGTGGTCGACGGTGGTTAAGACCGGTGGTGGTGGCTAGTGGTGGTTCAGATCGGTAGTAGTCGATGATGGTGGTCGGCGGTGGTTCAGATCAATAGTAGTGGAGAGGTGGTCAACGATGGTCATATTGAGTTTTATGAGATTAGAGTATATTAGATTAAGGACATATTTGGTATAATAAAGATAGAAATTCCATTTCATCAAAATACCATGTAGTTGCTAAGGAATGTTAAATTCCTTTATTTGTGGAATTTGGAGGATTTTGAAGATTACTTTCGTGAAAAAGAATGAACCAAACGAGGGAATGTAATTTGGTCAATGAAATTCAACATTCTAATTCTATCAGATTCCTACAGAATCTACGAACCAAACACCACATAATTTGTCTTTTAAGTGTTATAGAACCGGAAAGTTGGGGAAAAATGTCTAAATAGTTTGTTTTATAGACTAAATCCAAAATTTGACTATAACACACAGACCACCATATAAATCACTTTTTTTTTAAATTTTTTTAACAATCACTGATGAATAATAAATGCATCTGTAACAAAATTGTATAATAAAGAAAATATAAAAAATTATTTTTAAAGCTATTCAAATTATAGATGTTTATTTATTTATTATTAATATAAAGGCAATTAAATTGTCTACGGAAAAGAAATAAAAATGAAAGGCAATAAAAGAAATATTAACCATTTGTGGGTTTATTCAATGAAAGTCTTTGTTACCATATTTATCATAAGTGGTAAATTATGAAGTACAATTTTAAAAACATACAACATAGACGACTCCTAAGCTATCCGACAAAAAAGGTAAGCATTTTTGTCATCATTATTTCATTCATCTCAAAATAATTATCTATATTTCTATTTTAATTTATCTTAACATAAATATTCATTTTCAAAAATAAATACTTACCTTTTAAACTCTATCTTCAATTCTAGTTGATGAATGATTTTTTTTTTTTCTATTATTAAAGGCAAACTTATCAATTAAAAAAACATATGACACATTCTTTGACCCTAAAAGATCATATAATAATAGAAGTTAAGATATAAAGTACTATATATAGGAGTTAAAAATATCTTTAACTTTTTGTTTTGGATAATCATAATATAAAACCTCCAACACCAGCTGCATAAGAGTGTTAGGGAAGGACAATTCTGCAGAATTTGCCACCAACTTTTTCCTTATTTTCTTTCACATTTGTTATTGTCAACATATTTCAAATGTTTTTACATGACATATTACACACTTATATATATATATATATATATATATACTTGAGATTATGTAAGACCAAGGGTTTTTTGTAAGACCTGTAAGACCAATTCTCAACCCTTGAATTAGATTTACAATCTGAACATTCATAATCACAAAATTAACACAAGACTTCTCAATAATCACAAAATCACCACCGTGCAACTTTAAACTATTAGATCATTAGCTTATAAAGATGATCAATAAACATAAACTGGTCTCACGAGTCTCACGAAAAATCATTGGTCTCATATTGGTTAAGAAGGAAAACAAGAGTTACCTTATAAGAGATTAAATACCTTATTTATCAGATGCATTTTAAAGTCATATGTTATATTAAGAGCCTTACAAATTAAAATAACAAAAATATCTTAAAATAATACATTAATATATAAAAATCAATTAAACAAGATTATTCTAAGATTCTTCCAAAATCATAATTGGAACCATTAAAACAACTAAGAGTAAAAGCCTAAAACATTATCCAGTTTAAAATAATTTAGTAGTGATGTTAAAACACGTGTAATTTGGCGACAAAACATGTTTCACATCTCATATTGGAACACCTTCGAGTCAATGGTTGTTGATGTTATAGATAGGGAGTGTAAACGTATCGAGTCAAGCCAAGTGGTAGGTTATTCGAGCTTAATATTTTTTTCTTTTGATTTATCGAGCTTAATGCTCGTTTATAGGTTCGTACTTGCGATCGTTTAACTTGTTAATTGGCTCGAGGTTGAAATTTTTTATTTATATCTTTATTGTATTATTTATGAACAATAACATAGCATAAAAAACTTACTATTTCCATTCCCACATAAAAGATTTCCTTTTATGTGTTAATTAGGATGATCACCTCTATGATTTGATCTTAAATTAGATTTCCAGTTGGCCTGAGATACATTTGAGGTGGACACATTCATCATAATTTATAACTTGGAGACATTAGAAAGATGATAGGTATAGAATATTGAGTATAGACTACAGGCTATAGGGGTATAATTATATGAAGCTATTTGCCAACTCCAATAAAACGGTCATTTTCATGGGTTGGGGGAGATTAAAAAAGACATAAAATACAGCTTGCTTAAGGGTGAAGCTCTTTCATAACAAGACTAGGTGTCCACTCTGCCATAAATACCGACACCCTTCCACACACAAAGAGGATAGATCTATATAGATAGATGGGCAAATAGTTTCTTTGGCACAACAAAATTAGCATAGTTGCTATATATGGTTCAATTGATTGGAGATGGAATTGATCTGGTTAGTTGCAAGGTCGTTAAGTATCAATCAATCCCCTGCCTGAATCATTCTATTGCGTCTCTTCTCTTCTTTCTTTCCTTCCTTCCTTCCATATATAGAAATCGCAAGACAGTGTTCATGTCAACTAGAATACACAATTATAGATCTCACCTCTATATGTGCTTATCTTTCCAAAAAGGGTATTTGATGGAAGTACTGTATCAAAGTTTTTGTGGCAATTTTCATCTTCTCTTCACTTTTTAACTTTTATAGATACTGATTAGATTGATGGATTTGGGTTTATTTTGGGGGTGTTGTTATCCAGTGGATGGGGAAATAAGGTCTCAGGAGGGAGGGAGGGAGGGAGGGAAGGCATCAATCTTAACGACCTTGCAATTAACCAGGTGAATTAGCCTCCACAGACAATAAAGCAAGGAGTTTACATCTTTTCAAGTTATGACCACAAGATGTTTATGTGAGTTTGCTTATTTTATGTAAAATGTTCAACTCACTGTTTGTTAGAGGATTGGACACAGGGAATCCTCAACTGCAATCATATGAGCAGAGCTGCAAGGTACAGTTAGTACCCTATTTATCTCATATTTTGTGTACATTATATGTAACTGTATTTAATCTATTCAGCAAAACAGATGTGGCATCAAAGGTACAATGTCCCTTTGCAACAGCAGTGCTGCCCTGGGACTGTGGAACCATAATATGCTAGTTCCACTGCCCATCTAAGCTTGGGATATGGAAGGCCCAAGGGATATGCAGTTGTGAATATATTAATTGTAAATTCATTGAAGAATGATTGTTTAGGCAAGTTGAGGTTTGGAAGCTTAGAGTTATGGTAGTAACAGTGTAGTTCTAATCCTGGTGAAGGTTCAGTGACCAGCTATTGGGACAACCTACTAAAAAGACCAACAATAATAGAAATATAATTTAGGGGGTGTTTGGTTTCACAATAGAATGAAAATAAAAAAAACTGTTTGGTGGTATATAATATAAGAGGCTCATTTCACTAGAAGCCCAATTTTTCATTCCTGGTATTTTCATTTCCATTTCCATTTTCCAGCATGAACCAAACAGCCTCCTAGTTGTCAAAGGTCAAAATGTTGCATCTTGGTGTGGCGTTCTATTATACAATATATACATATGTGTACACATATATGTATGTGAACTTACGTAATAGGGATAGAAATCACCTTTCCCACCAATAAAATTCTTTTCTTACGTGTACTCATGTAATTGTTAGACACCAATGAGATGTGAAAAGTTGGGACATGTGATTTTTTTATATATGCAATGGACCTTATAGTTTCTGTACGGAAAAATCAAAGTTAGAAGCATACCTTTCTTGAAGGGTTGATATTTTCTACATTATCAACTGTGTCTGCATCAACCAGAATTATAGTCAATTTAGAGACTTAATAGAACAACAATCTTTCCTTCTTATTCAAAGATGAACCTGTCCTACGACTTTTACCTTATAAGTAACAAATTTACTCACCATAAGAAGCCATTTACACTAGTGCCCTTCCTATGTATTGATGGAAATGTTAGTGAGGTTGGAGGTTTTCCTCCATCCCATATTGGTAGATAGATTTTAGAGAGCCTTATAAGGCTTTCCTCTTAATTGGGCTTTGAACAAGTTGGTGGACTCATGGTGTGGTCATGAGTGGAAGGTCCAACACACATGTGGGCGTGGCCGAGGCCGAGGGAACGAGATTCGCGTAAGTGGCGCACTTCGCACGGAGCAGAAAGAGCCTTTACAAATGAGAGAGAGAGAGAGAGATAATTTATCTGTTTTTCATATGAAAACTATTGGAGAGGACAGTTGGAGTCATAAGACATCCAGCCTCTTATCGGGTAAGAGATGCTTACCCGGTCAAAGATGATGGTGTTTATCAACAATCTTATTGTACCATTTTGCCAACCAAGAATCTTAGTCCGTAAGCATTTACCGAAACAATTTTACCCGGGAAGTTCTTAACAAATAAGCATGTTAACTCCTTTAAGAAAGAGGTGGTCTGACACACTGTGACACAGGCATCTTCTAGTGTGATATAAAGAACCGATATTCGAGTTATCTACACCTAACCGGAATTATGTGAGGGTGTGGACTGGGAGACCTGGGGACTGGGGAGCACCCTTTTATTTTTTAATATTTACAAAATCACATGCATACATTTGAGTTCTTCAAGAGGGTACAGCTAATCTTTTATCACTTTGAATCCTCGTTTAAGGGGTGTTTGGTTTCACATTAGAATTGAAAATAAAAAGAATTGTTTGGTTTATATAATATACCGGGCTCGTTTCTTTAGAAGCCCAATTTTTTATTCCTGTCATTTTCGTTTCCATTCCCATTTTCACTTTTCAGCATGAACCAAACAGCCTCCTAGTTGTCAAAGGTCAAAATGTTGTATCTTGGTGTGGCGTTCTATTATACAATATATACATATGTGTATGTATATACATTTATGTATGTATATACGTGTACACATATATATACATATATGTATGTATATACGTGTACACATATATATACATATATGTATGTGAACTTAAGGAACGGGGATAGAAATCACCTGTCCCACCAATAAAATTCTTTTCTTACATGTACTCATGTAATTGTTAGACATTAATGAGACGTGAAAAATTGGGACATGTGATTTTTATCCATGCAACGGACCTTATAGTTTCTGTACAGAAAAATCAAAGTTAGAAGCATACCTTTCTTGGAGGGTTGATATTTTCTATTTCATCAACTGTATCTGCATTAACCAGAATTATAGTCAATTTAGAGACTTAATAGAACAGCATTCTTTCCTTCTTGTTCAAAGATAACCTGTCCTACGACTTTTCCCATATAAGTAACAAATTTACTCACCACAAGAAGCCATTTACACTAGTGCCCTTCCTGTGTTTTTCATATGAAAACTATTGGAGAGGACAGTTGGAGTCATATGACATCCAGCCTCTTACCGGGTAAGAGATGCTTACCCGGTCGAAGATGATGGTGTTTATCAACAATCTTACTGTACCATTTTGCCAGCCAAGAATCTTATCCCGTAAATGTTTAAAAACAATGTTACCCTGTAAGCGCTTAACAAATAAGCATGTTAACTCCTTTAAGAAAGAGGTGGTCTGACACACTGTGAAACAGGCATCTTCGAGTGTGATATAACCAATATTTGAGTTATCCACACCTACTCAGAATTATGTGAGGGGGGTGTGGTCTGGGGAGCACCCATTTTTGTTTTTTAATATTTACAAAATCACATGCATACATTTGAGTTCTTAAAAGAGGGTACAACTAATCTTTTAACACTTTGAATCCTCATTTCAAGGCTTCTAGTACTATAAAGCCCAAAAAGAAATTAACACTTCAAATGCTTCCAAGTTTTATATGTATGGTCATAGATAGTGAAAAAGAATGTTGAATCCTACCATGTAGGAGTTTGATATTCTTCATGAAGTTATAGGATCTGTAGCAGTGTCAAGTTTTTGTTGGTACTTGGTAGGTTACAAATCAAATTTAGAAGGATGAAACGTGAAGGAATCCAACAAACATTTATGTGTCTTCAGGGTTTTACACATCAAGGAAAATGGTGACAACATCGCAAAGGAAGATAGTTAAGAAGCCTTCTCGCTGTAACTGACTATATTTCACGTAGGTGTTTGCCACCATATTGAAATTTCTTTTGTAACCATATCTCGGGACTACTATTGGAAAAGTTCCATAGGACTATTAAGTAAGCGAAGATTTCCACTACTAGGTAACCCACACCTATGTCACATTTGACTTCATCTCTCCTATCCCCCTCGAAACCTAACTGCCAACTCTCGAACCCCCCTTCCACTATTGAGATGAGGATGATGGTTTTGATTCTTTGATGAACACCGTTTTAGAACCTTCGGTGTTTTCAATCTGTTGATCAAAAACCTTTGATGCGGAAGGACCCATTTGCAGATTAAAATCTTACACACACACTTATATAATTGAGAGAGAAAACTATCACATAAGAGAGACAAATCTTAAGTATTAAATGGGAAACCTTGCACACATTCAAATGGCAGCCGATATCATGTTTATATACATGATGAATCGGTGCATATCAAGCAACACGTCGGTTGGTAAGGGTGCCATAACCGACTTCCTAAAAACTACCCATAACCTCCTTAAACTTCCTTCCAGCACAAACATATGAGGTGTCCATGACCCTCTTTATTTAATACATAATTAAAATAAAATAAACTTAATAATTAATCCTAAGTTTTGACATTTAATTTTTCCAACATCCACCCTAGTTCATCCGTTTTAGCTTACGAATCTTTACACAAAATCTGCTATCGTAACTTTTGGATCTCCAATAACTCTAATAAGAGGTAATTGTCCTCGGAATGTATAAGGCCGTTATGTCAAGCCTCAGTTTCCCCTCCACCTCACCCTTCAACTGTAACACTTTCAACCCTCCTCAACGGTGTCTTCATTTGCCTCTTGTGAATGTGTCCAAACCATTGCAATCTTCCCTCAATTTATTCGTGCTATGTGCAACTCTCTACTTTGCCCAAAAAACCTCGCTCAATATCCTATCCAACATGGTACGACCGCAGGTCCATCTTAGCATGTTCATATCTACTACTTAAACTCATGCATATAAAACATAACTAGTCTAATAGCTACCTTGCAGAATTTCCCTTTAGTTTAGTAGGACCTTTGTGACAACCACCAACTTTGGCCACATGGCCTTTACGTGGTGGGTCATATTATCCTCGACCTCACCATGCTTTTGAAACTGTCCTTTGGATTACTCTTTGTGCACAAATGGTGACTTCCATCTTCTCGTCATTACTCTCCTTGATAAAATTGCACGATATGTATTCAATCTTAAACGACTAATAGCAAGCCTTGTGTTTCTAAGATGCCCTGCACTACTTTTAACTTTTGGTTAAACTGTACCTTGTCTCTCTCGTCTCTCTGCTATCAGTACATTGTCATTGGCAAATAACTTACACAATGAAACATTCCCTTAGATCTGGCATAAAATATCCAAAATTAAAGCAAAGAAAAATAAACTTGGTGCAATCCCTCGTGCAATCCTATCTCTACCGAGAAATACTCCGTCTCACCCACTCGGGTCCTGACACAAGTTATTGTCGCACGTACCTTTATCATACATCTCTTTCCCCGAGTTTCCTCCATATCATTTCTCGAGGCAAGTTATCAATGTGATGTATGGAATGAAGGTTGAGAAGTTCATATTGTTGAACATTCCAATAGTTAGTAGTACCTAGCTAGGCCAAACACATAAGAAAATGTCGAGTGCTCGAAGACCATAGCCATGAACCTTCCCATTATCTTCTAGACCTTGTTCCTGACACACACACACATATATATATATATATATATATATATATACATACATATATATACAGGGGCCCATTCAAGGGAGAACTGATTAGTTTGTGATAACTGTGAGATTCAATCTCAACCACAAATCAATGAATAAATTAGGAAATTAATAATTATGGTAGTTTGAGTTAAAATTATAATTAAAGGGCTTTTTAGGTATTTTTAAAAAAACTCCTCTCTCCGACCTTCAGTGAACATTAATCCGACAGGTACCAAGTAATCACAAAGATACCCATTGTGATATACTGTGATACCATTGTGATACCAACTATGATACCAACTCAAACCTTAAAAACGAAGATACACAATGTGATACCAATTGTGATATACTGTGATACCGATTTCACCGGAGGCCGGAGAGATGAGAGAGGAGAGAGGAGTTTTTAAAAAAATACCTAATATGCCCTCTAATTATAATTTTAACTCAAACTACCATAATTATTAATTTACTAATTTATCCGTTGATTTGTGGTTGAGATTGGACCTCACAGATACCACAAACTAATCAGTTCTCATTTGATTAGGCCCTTATATATATATATATACATACATACATACATACATATACATACATACATACATACATATACATACATACATACACATATATATATATATACACATACATGTGTATATATATATATATTATCGAGAAGTAGTTGGTGCCTTTGTTTACCTTGTTCATCGTCTGTAGAAGCTCTTTACTTGTTTTGAATCTTGGTTATTGCAAGAAGTATTCCTATGGAATAAATTCATTCAGTAAATCTCATGTCACGATTAATAAATTACATATGGTAATCATTGATACAAGCTCATCACTTGTTAATCTGTGATAAACATGGTAAATTTATTACAAATGAGAATCTTGGTCATCGAAGCTTGACTAGTTAAGAGTATATATCGGCTTTAGGAGGACTAGAGTACTTTCGGTTATTTTGTACAAAATGAGCTTATGTTTAACAATGAAAACAATACTACTCTTTATATAAACATATCATGTACTTATTTAGAAAGTAATTCCTCCTTTGAGTCATTTCTCTTACCGTCTCCACAAGTTTATGTCTAATAGCTGTACTTGGACGACAATACACAATGTACTTTGAACAATCTACATGCAACTACTGGGGAAACAATGGGTGGCATATATGGAGAAAGGGATAGTAATGTTAAAAGGAGTTGCACAAGCATTAGACAAAATGGAACATCCATGTTATCTCATATACCACTTCACTAATTAGGAGGAGGGCAACTCATTTTCCCTCTCAAACTGTGTCATTACAAACAAGTCTCCTTGTTGAAGGAATGATGGGAAGTTAGTTTCATTGACAAACTCGACAAAACATTATCAATAAAACCACCACGAAATACAAACTTGTCTACTTTGGATATCAAATCTAGCATGTAATCTAGTATATACTAATCTCTTATATATAAATCGAAGTAGTTAGGGTCATAACAGTGTTGCTATTGTTCCCTAATATGATTTATACATACACATATATGTATGTGCACACACACACACACACACACACACATATATATATATATATATATATAGATATGTACATTGTTCATAGGAGACCGATGACACTCGTAAGATAGTAGAAAGAGACATGGTGGAGGGGTGAGAAGGCGAATGCTAAGGAGGATGTGGGATGGACATAACATATCTCACTTCATTCAATCATAAAGAGCTCGATCATCAACTAATAGATAGAAATTCGCAGCTTGCTTTGCCCGCACACGACGTTAGCCATGGCGCAAGGAACAGGCATCGAGTGTGGGGAATGGGCGATTATGAGGAAATGGCCATACTTGGAGATGGAGGATTAGGATAGCAAACTAGTTGCAGAAACCTATAGCTAGTATCTAGGTCGAGAGCCATGTAACTAGAGTGGTTGGGCAAAAAAGAGAAAGGAGTTAGGATTTGGAAGGGTTGAAAAGGAGGGAGGGGTTAGAGGGTTGGCAGTTAGGCTACTCTGCGTCTTTTGCGTTACCTTGCCTGTTGTATGTGTTTTGTGTACCTATAAGTTACTTTTTCTTACTTATCTTTCTTGTCCTATGTTTACCATGTCCTAGTCTTTGTTCCTTCTACCTGTTTGCTCACATTCTTGCACAAGTCGGGTTGTTCACACAAAATGATGTTCTACTATTTTGGGGTAAAGGCTAGACTTGCATACATATCATCCAATGTTCAAATGAGATTTACTTGGTCAGTTTAGTTTCTTTTGTACACACACTATCATGTAAACATTTAGGTAAAACTCTTAAATTATAAGAGTACAACATTTATGAAGCACCAAGTACAAATTAAACATTTAGGTAAAACTCTTAAATTATAAGAGTACAACATTTATGAAGCACCAAGTACAAATTACTCGTCCTTTAAAACTTATGGTTGTCCCATATAGATGGGGCAACAAAAAGTAGAGTCCAAGGCTTTGGTATGAAAGCACCTTAATCAAACTTGTTCTAATCAGATTGTTTTCCAGTGAACCATCGGTTAACTTTTCAATGAGTATATCATGCAAGTCCTTGCTGTGTTAGCTAGGCCACCTGCGTGTTAATGACCTTGCATGCTAGCTAGATTTAGGTTGTCCCAAGTATTTGATTATTTTTTCTTTCTTGTTCTCTTGTTGTATATGTAGAATTTGAGTTATATACATAGTAGATTTTCTTTTTGGGGGCACGTTCACATTTTTTTTATCAAAAAAAATCAAAACTATTTAGCATATTTATTCATTTATACACTAGTATAATTAGAGATGATTGTAATTCTATTTTATTCAAACATAAAGAGTTGCATTAACTTTCCTCTCTTCTTTCAAATGAGAATATGGTCAAAACAAAAAAAAACTCAAGAATAGATCTTAACCCCCACCTCATTTAATTAAGGGTTGAAAAGAAATGTGACAATGGAAATCAGTGCCATCTTATTAAAAGGCTAAAAGGGTATTGAAGGGCAAGATTAAAACAAATATATTTCGAAATTGAATTATGAGAGAGATATTAGGGATTTAAGTAAGATTTCGTCAATCTCTATTCTCTTTCCAAAACCTTCAACAACCTTTTGAAAAATATCACATCGTAAGGAGTACTAGCGTTGTTTTGGAATCTAAGCTCCTTATCGCCTTGTTTAAAAATGACATAAGCTTAACACAGACACTGTAATATTACTTTGTATAATGATTCACATCTTTTTACTCTGTAAAAAGGATGATTTACACTTACGACCGCTAAAATGGTTGATTGAGCTCTTCAACACTTGCGACCGCTAAAATGCACGAGAACATTGGAGGCTTAGTGTGGTTGTACTACTCTTTAAGAACAAAGATGATTTACAACAATGTGGTAACTATTGGGGTGAGCAAATGATTTGAGGCAAATGTGCTTATAAGAAACGAGGGTGACAGAGAACCAATTTGGCTTCATTGTCTTCTACACCTCATTAAGAAGGGTAGATAATGTAGCAAGGACTTGCACATGGCATTCATCGATCATCTATTTGGAGAAGTCCTACTATAGCTTGCCAAGACACGTGATTTAGAGCAACTTGGATAAGAAAGGGCGTTCGGTGGCAATAAGACTAAACCAAAGACCGACATTAAACCCATTTCTATTTGCCGTAATTTTGGATGATATTTCACAAGATTCCAGGGGTGTATCTTTGGAGTATCATTCGCATATGACATTGTGATCGTTGTAGAGTCGAATGTGGAGCTAAACTGACATGTTGGAGCAGTTGCTAACGACATTTGAAACACACAATTGCATATTAGCCGTTCGAAGACCCAATTGTGTAATTATAGCAGGGGAGTGTATTGACAAAGGGGGTGGGGGCAAAGGGTACCACAAATGTACAACTTCAAGTATCTTTGCTATATGATTCGAAATGAGGGCAAGGTTGAAGATAATATAACTCATCACATAAAGACATGGTGCAAAAAGTGAAGAGCCGCTACATGGGTGTTTTGTGACAAGTAAATCTCTCTAAAACTGAAAGACAATTTTATAGGGTAGCTATCAGAACAAGTGAACAACTATGTTCTATGGGTTGGAGTACGAGGCGATAGAGAAGGCGATGTGTTGAAGATGGAAGTTGCAGAAATGAGGATGCTTAGATAGACATATGGCACAACCTAGTCCAATAAGACACCTGACCGGTTCTTCCAGGTTGCTTTGGTATTTGATCGATCACCTAAAAGTTGAGGGAAGGGAGATGAAGGTGGTTTGGTCACGTTTGTTGGAGACATGCCAACTCAATTGAGGAGGATTGGAAGGATGACGGTAGGGAGGAGGACAGGTAGGCCGAGAAAAACGTGGGATGAGCAACTAAGGTTAGATATGGTTGCTTTAGAGTTTTTCAAAGACTTGAACTTTTATACGAGCAATTAAAGACACGAAACTAGGGTAGCAAAGTAGGGGTGGAGTTCTATAGCTAACATAGTCGAGAGGAAGGTACTAGTGAGGTAAAAGGTGAAAATAAGGATAATGGGTTGGACTAGGAGTGTGAATGGGAACGAGCCTCGAGGCGTTTTCCCATCAGGTATGTAAGGTGTAAGCACCCAAAAACCAAACAACAAAATTCATAAATGTAAAAAACTTGACAAAGAAAACATAATTCCATATATGAGAGAGAAGGAGGATCGAGGCGGCTGTAAGGGGTTGTGCCATTTAGGGCTTGAGGGCGACACCTCAAACTCGTATTTAGACCGTCTCACCTCTTCCATTTTTTTAAAACCATGGGAGTGTGTTTTTTTTAAATTCATTACATTTCTTTTATAATCTTTAATAAGTTTTTCAAATTTTGTTTTATTTCATTTTCATCCTTCTACCTCTATCTCTTTCTTTTTTTACCTTTTTTACAAGTATGGGTTTTCACATAAACCAACTCTCTACTATTCAAGGTTTGAAGTCATGCCTGCATACGTCTTACCTCCCCTAGATTGAACCCAATAGGTGGAACACATCAAACCCGCATGGTTTCGTAATATCAATGTGATATTGTTGATTGATTAATATGTTTACAATATACAAATATTACAATGTGGCATAGTGTGACATCATGGACAAACCTATTTGTTATCAAAGGTGAATGCTATAACATGTAGAAAAAAAGCCTAAAGATATTTTCTTCTTTTGGCTATTGTTGAAGATAGAAAAACATGTAAGATGGGTTTTTGTAATAAATTGAAGTGTTATTTCGTATGTTATTTTTTCTAAAAAAAATGTGGTGGTTAATTGCAAAAAGATACCCTGTAAACTTCTTGTATAACAAATTAAAAAACTCTTAAGTGTTGTTTCACACTGTGAAACATTACATGTGTATACATTGAAGTGTTAGCTTTAAGTGTGAACACATTGTCGCTTCAAAATGTGAAACAAACAATGTTGCTCTTGTGAACAATGTTTGCTTATTTCACATTGTGAAACAACACATGAATTTAACATTAAAATATATCGGTTCACAATGAAGCCGAGGTTAAACAACATAGTGTCGTCTCACAGTCACATTGAAATAAAACAAAAGTGTTATTTCACATTGTGAAAAAAATAGAGTAAGTGATGCGAAACAATGTAGTTGTGACTAATGGAATTAACACGTATGTGTTGTTTCACAATGTCACTAATGCGAAACAACACATAGGTTAAAAATGAGTGTTGTTTACCGTGTTTTGTAGAGAATAATCTCAAGAAATAAGTGAATTGACTCAAATTGAAGAGTATCATATTGTTAAT